TATCATCCAGCAAGCGCCTGATCCACGCGTGCTATGACGAACAGTGCATGAGTAAAATGAGTTACCAGTTTCCGTGACACATCGGTAAACTGTTTTGTAGCCAAAAAGTTTTTTTTCCCAAGCATGCTATATTAAGCTATCAGTTTCAAACTGTTTTGTAGCTGAAACCATGTTTGCTATTCAACTGCGTGAACACAATCTGGGTATGGCCACCCTAGAATATATATGAACGGAAGAAACTCTTCTCTGTCAGAATCATGCAGGAGATAAAGCATCTTGTATTTTTAGTTTGATTTCTGTACTTTTGCTATGGACCACATCTTCAACTAAGCTTGACGAACTCGTGTTTTCTCAACACGGAAAATCTGACTCAGACACGGTTGAAGATGTTGCAACACAGCAGTATGACAACACTTCCAACACCGGTTTCCATGTATGTATATCGTCCAAGGCCTCTAGAAACGCCAAAATGCATCCTTAGCAAAGATGAATTTGTGGCGCATAAAGGGGGGGGGTGATGTGGATGACAGGTGTAGAAGTGCTGTAGCCATTGTTGTTGCACATACAAAAGTAGGACCAAGATACGATCCGAACGGAGGATCTTACTGATGGTTGATCAGCAAGAGACCCGACTGTGGATGCGTCCGCCGTCGGCCGCACGTCACTCACAACCCGACCAATGCAACGATCTTGCTGAAACATGTACACAAACATACACCATTGTCCGTCCACCTATTACCGCCGACGGAACGTGCGTAGAGGTTAAGCATTGCCTCGCGGGTCCGATGTCCTGTCGTTACCACCATCATTCACGACAAGAATATCCATTGCTGCACTAACGACCTGCCCGAGGTGGTCATAAACGATTCTCTCCTTGTTGAGTCTCTTGTTTTTCACAGATCCTAGACAAGGCTATAAATTCTCGGGCCCGGTCTACTAAGTAGCATTTTTTTTCTACAACCTTGGCAAGGGAACGAACCCTCGACTGTGTTCCAGTCGCCGTTCCAATACCCACCCAGTATCCTCCTCGACAACGTTTTCGGATTGTGTGTTTTGCCACATTTTTGCTGTGAATACTGCTCTCCGTTCTTCCTTCCTTTTACTGCATGTTGGACGTCTAAAACTTATCTCTCCAGGTTCGACTGACGATGAAGAGATTTCAGAGTATGGAAGCGGGCGCTTGCAGCAACCCTGAAGACGTGCAACCAGCGACGAAAAAGGCGGCGCAAAAACTCGCAAACTTCCGGGTGAGCTGTACCCCTGGCCTGGTCGGTGTCCTCACAGAAGGAACCAAAGGTGTTGCATGACTGTCCCTGTCTAAATATAATGGACATGATTGTATATATTCATGTGTACTACATGTACCGTAGAAAATTAAAGCGGTTGGATACACTAACAGGGCTGTTCGTCTACCGCATCAGGTAGGATTTTCCATACTGGTTGTCCTACTACAGAAAAGTGCCTGGAACAGCCTACCCCGGGAACAACCATACGTTGTATTTGCACCATGATGCACCCGTCCGCTCATACGTACACGTTTGTTTACGCGCTCGATGGCCCTCGTTACCCGAACTGCAACACGTCAGGGCTACTTGCACAAGTCCTCCGTCGCCGGGTGCTTCGTTGACCTGCTGGAGATGACAAACGAAGGTGGGATGTATCCATCGTTGACTAGAGGAGGGGGGCTCAAATACCGTTCTTGTAAAACAACGCGTAGCTACCAAAACTTGCTCTTGCTGTGTGAACATGTGTTTGTGTTGCGCCGTAGTCACAAGTAGCAACCGCCGCAGGCAGACGCAGCAGCACGCAAACATGTTGGCGCGCAGCGGGCCTGATCCCCGTTCATGGGCTGAGTACCCAGTGCAACCGCTATCGGCAAGGCAATATGGATGTCTTCCTTCCTTTTTTGTGATTGTGTGTTACCAAACCCGCCACAATACAAACAAGGAGTAATGACGGAGGCCGGTTTGTACCCGTCCAGCCGCTACAAGCAGTCCCGAAACATGCGACAATCGGGGCTCGGCTCCAGCTCCCGCTCCCGCTCCCGGCCGCCGACCCGTTTGAATGGCCGACGCAAGAACGACAAGAGCCAAGCACCGCTGCAAGGCCCGTCAAACAATCAGGTCGGAGATCAAAGTAAGAACCAGCGGCAACAGCGGGGGCACCACGGCCGGCGACCTTCGACGGCATTAGAAACCCCGTCTGCGCCCCTTGCGGCTCAGCCCACCCGCGACGCTCCGCTCTCGGCCCGTGTGGGGTTGTCCGCCGGGAATAGCTTCGCGGAGGCGGCGGGGGCACGTACCTTGGGTGCTTCTTCTCCTACTTGCGACAACAACAAGAGCGAGGACATTGCTGGCAGCAGGGCTACTATTCTCGACATCCGACGCACGCAGTGGGTGGAAGGAGAGTCGAAGCAGGGTGTGGGGGGGTGGTTAGAAGCGGACACAGCGGGGCGGTCTCAGCAGCACCAAGGGCAGCGTGTGGGGGCGGTGTCGGCGACCGGTCCGGAAACAAATGATGGTGCGGAGGAGGGAGATAAGGAAGGGCGCAACGGAGGCGGCAATGATGAAAGTGGTGGTGATCACGCGGGCGGCCGCTGCAAAACGAGTAGTACGACTAGCACGAGCACGGCAGATAGCCCGAAGCCCTTTTCGCGGAGAGTTGCGTGGGGAAAAGCCATGAGGGAGTTGTCATCTTCCGTCACAAAAGTGGTGAGTTCTGGGGGCACGCTCTGGAACGGTGTCGCCACCACCTTGCCCCATCGTTTGTTGGCCGAACGGATCGCGACTACTCTGAGTAATATCTCAGAAACATATTGGGAGGAAACTTCACAAATAGTCTACACTACTGTTTCTCGTGCCGAAAATGCTTCCATTGTTTTATCATAACCTGGTTTGACGAAACGTTTGAACATCGTGCTTTTCAGCCATGCTTCTAGTGCGCGGCAGTCATAAACTGGTGCGACTGCTGTATGTGTCCCTCAAACCTTAAGCCCAAAACGCCTTCTTAAGCTCCAGGTACAGCTCCTCCTCCTTTGACCGATTACCACAAGATATCGTTGCCCTCATTCTGTCGAACTTGTTACCGCACCCAGGCGCACATGAAAACCGCCGCGGACAGGGCCATGATCAACAGCTCCCACGAGCGGCGCGCGAGGGCGGCCAGCGTAAGGGCCGGGCTGATCGAGGGGGAACTGCTTCGGGCCCAGGTACGAAAATGTTTTTTTTCTTGGCGAAAAAGGCGGTTTTTCTATCGGGAAAGGGAGAAACTGGACCGTCTTGGCGAGAAATTAAGTTTTACGAGGAAGTAGGACAGGGAGGGGGGTACGTGGACCCTTTCCCTAACAACCCCAACCCTAACCCACCTTCCCCGACTGCAAGGTTTATCCAACATGTGTACTTAATCGAAAAACCCTGCGTAGCTAACGAATAAACTTGAGCACGGGTCGGGTATGAGGAGGGGGGGGTGGGTAGGGGCAGAGTTACGGTGAGGTAGGAAGGGGCGAGGCTCACGGCATCCTTAGTTTGTTAGGTTACAGCGCCAGACACGTCCAGCGGTCCCGTGAAGACAATTTCCCCGAAATGACCGGTGCAGGCGCAGGGCGATGAAGCCAACTCACCATGCTGTGAATTGTCCGCGCTTTTCCCTTGTAAAAACAATGATCCCGGTAGCCTATTTCCCTATATACTGTCCCAATGGAGAACTCCGTTCCCAAAGTTGGGATTGGTAGGAAGGCGTTCTCTGCAAGGTTGTTGTTGTTGTTGGGTTGTTATGTTCCCACGTACTGAATGTGTTGTTTGAGTGTGACCGTACGTTCTGATTGCAATCGTACTCACTGTTGGGTATTGATCCTCACAGCAACTCGTCGTCTGCAACCTCCCCTTCACTTTCCCTGCAAGCCGAGCCTGCATGTTGCCTGAAAGCCAACGCGGCCACTCGACCTCATCAACCCGCAACTACGAGGTGCTTGCTGCCACACATGCGGAAATGCGGTTGCTTCACACGGCGAAATAAGAGAACGGTTAGATGCCCGTGCAACAACGCTTGTAACTCCCGTCCCGTTGTCCGACCCAAACAAATTGCTCCCTGGCATTCTTGTTGCTGATTTGACATCCCCTTGGAAAAGCAACGGAGCCGCCCAGAGATACCGCCTAGATCAAACACCTGACGCGGCAACAAATCAAAAGCTCCTGCTGCGCGCATCATCGCCGCGCTCTTCCACCCTCTCTTGTTCTTCTGTTCCACGCGCTTTGCCGGTGCGGCGTGTTTTAGGAAGCTCTCGCCAAAAACGAAAATAGGAAGCGGCAGGCCACCGAAGCCGCCGCGCTCGCCGCCAGCCAGCGGGGACTTTTAGAAGCAATCACCTTGGTAGTGAGTCCATCGCTTCTGGGTAGGGGGGGGGGGGCTCAGCAG